TTACATTTTGTAGATTTCAGAAGGGAAATATTAAACAAACAGTGTGTTGTGGAAATAAAGTCACAGTAACGTTGCTGGAACAATACACAAATAACCCGCATTTAAAAGACTAAAACTTATAACGAAACTTTCAAGTTGGACCGAAACGTGTTTATACGTTTGAGTCTCGTAGTGCGGTTTATTTGTGTATGTGTAGTGCGTTTTATTATCCTTGTGATTAAGTAGTAGTCTTATTCTTCTTAGTTTAACCATATAACAGAATTTCTACCATTGATCGTGTTGGTGCTCTCAGTTACCTCGGGAACTCAGGCTTAATTTCATCAAGGAATTAAAGTAAGCCGGTGGCTTTGTTTCCAGCGATAATCACAATAAAAGTCGATGATAAATGGCTTACCATCAGTAGCTGGGGATCCTGGTTCATAGGCTGTGTTTTCATAGCCCGGGATACCAGTGAGCCCCAAGAATGAATTCCAGCTTTTTAATCTCATACTGTATGTTCTGGCCCTCACAAGCGATTTTTATATCAATGTACCACGCGGAAACTGGGGGTATATTTAGAGAAAGATTGCAGTCACAGGACTCGACCCCCCTACAGGAAGATTGGCCAGGTTCCCAAGTAACACTTTTCCACTCATCCACAAATGTGTCGTAAGCTGGCATCCTGGTTTACAACCATGTTTGTTTCCTAGCCCATGCCAGTCTTCCTTTAGTGGGATCGAGTTTCCTACTAACTGCGATCTTGCTCTTTTCTCTCTCTCCTCTCTGTCTTTCTCCCCTCTCGTCTCTCTTCTCTTCTCTCCCCTCTCTCACTCCTCTCTCTCTCTCTCCTCTCTCTCTCTCCTCTCTCTCCCCTCTCTCTCTCCCCTCCTCATCTCTCTCTCTCTCTCTCTCTCTCTCTCTTCTCTCTTTTCTCTCTCTCTCTCTCTCCCTTTTCTCCTCCCCCTCTCTCCTCTCTCCTCTCTCTTCTCTCTCTCTCTCTCTCCTCTCTCTCTTCTCTTCTCTCTCTCTCCCCTCTCCTCTCTCTTTTCTACTCTCTCTCTCTCTCCTCTCTCTCTCTCTCTCTCTCTCTCCTCTCTCTCTCTCTCTGTATATATATATATATATATTATAATATATATATATTTAATATATATATTATATAATATATATATATATTATATATATATTTATATTTATATATGCAATAAGATCACAGTAAACAAGTGCCCTCAGAATATGCAAAACAAACCACTTGAAAAGAAAAGTGAAATCCCAAGCAATTTTGTGACTTCTTCCATTATCAAGGAACTATCATAAATTGGAATTTCAGTATTCTTTCACAGTGGGTGTTTTGCTTATATATATATATATATACTATATATAAAATATTATATATATATTATATTTATATATATATAATATATATATAATATATATATATATATATATATAATAGGTATTTTAAAATATTTTATATAATATTTTATTTATATATATAATATATATATATTATATATATATTATATATATAAATAAAAATATAATAAATAAAATATTTTTTATTTTTTTTTATTATCAACCGGCCCATTCCCACCCAAACGGGGGGCCCGAAAAAAAAACTTTACCCTATTCACTCCACACTGTCTTGCCAAAGGTCTTTTTACTAAGTTTTTAAAAATGCAACTTTAAAACCCCCCCCTTTAGAGTGCGGCACTGACTTTTCCCATCTCCCGGGATCAAAGTGGGGGGTTTTCCCTAATTTATAAATTTATTTTAATAAAATAATATTAAAAACCATTTTTATTAATTAAAAAGTGGGGTTTATAATAAAAAAAATTTTATAAATAATATATATATTATATAATATATTATATATATATATAAAAAAAATTATATATAATATATATTATATATATTATATATTAATATAATTAAATTTAAAAAATAGGTGTATATAGGTTATTTGTGGCAGTGAAGCACAGACCGATTCCCTCCAGGTTGTGTCCCGTAATCCGAGGGAAAGATTGCAAACATGGGGGGTTAATAAACATTATCAAGGGAGCCTCACAACACTGGATGCCCAGCAGAAAGGGGAGCCCCCCCAACATGCAGACTGATCAGCAGAACGTCCAAGGTATCCCCCTTCAATGGACAGAGGAAGCAGGTGGTGTGGACTATACAGTGCATCTCCCTTGGGCTGACCATCCCCAAATACACCAAGGAAGGGGGCACTCCCAGTCAGGGGTCCCAAAAGTCTAGAAAAAGGGAGAACTTCCCCATCATTATATTTTGTTCCCATAGGCCAGAGACCCTGGTATGGGGAAAGAGTGCATCTAAATCCTTTTAAGGAGCTTGGGAAAAAACTCTCGGGGTAACTAGGGACCAAGGCAGCAGTTTCCTTTTCCCCACGGCTCAGTCGGTTTTTCCCAAAGGGGTAATGCCTGTGTATTTTGGGCACACGCCCCAGTTTCGAGGAGGGGATAGATTTTCGCCTTTAATCGGTGATACACACGTAACAAATTACCGTGTGTCCCCCTTTAATCAATATGTATCTCTTGGATTTTCTGTACCATTTTATGAAATAAAATTTTCCTATTAGAAAAAAAAAAATAAAAAAGATGGGGGGGTTTAGGGAAGGGGAAATTAAAAACGGCTTCAAAGAAAAATCCAAATTTTTTTCCCTTTTCCTTTTTTCCCTTCTCTCTCCTTCTCTTCTCTCCTCCTGTATATATATATATATAAATATAATATAATAATATATATATAATATATAAAAATATAAAAATAAAATATATATTATATTTTATTTTATAAAAAATATATATATATAAAATATAAATATATATAATATATATATATAAATTAAAAAATTTAAAAATATATAAAATATATAAATTTATATATAAAAAATTTTTTATATTGATGGGAGATTAAATTATGGGGATCAAAAAAATTGGGGAATTGAACAGTTTTTTTTTGTGAATTTCTTGCTTAGGGGATTCTAAGAAAAGTTGGAAAGGTTAGTGGACGATTTGGGAGAGTTTAAAGGTAAAAATTGAAGAAAAACATAGAAAAGAGAAAATGAGAGGATACAAATGATTTTGGTTAAAAAAATGGA